AGACAAAATCAGAACCAGACAGATGCCTTGGCATTTAATATTCTGTCTAATGTAAAAGGTGTTGTATTTTACTAATAAAATAATGCAAGTTAGACAGTTTTGTTAACTATCAGGGAAGCCCACAGAAGAATTCTAAGGCAGAATTTGAAGTAAAACAGACCATCTCATTAATATGTTAATTTTGCCTATAGGATTGAATCATGGTTGATCAGATGACCTCTGATCCTCCTTGCTAGAAATTGGATGTTGAGTTAAATGCCTGTGTAATGTCAGTCAAGATATCGATAAGAGAAATGACAGCGATGCTGACTGCTATACGATGTGGGCATTTTGCTGGCTGCAAGTTCTTGTAACCCTCCTGCCAAGGTTGCTATTGCAATAATAGACGCATATTTCATTCCATCATAAATGAAGAAAGAGATTTTTGAAAAAATGAACACATTATGTTTGTCATTAGTTGCAAAAGTAATCCTTAAAATGCATTAAACCTGAATTTAATTTGTTTCCTGACAATAGTTTTTCCTTCCTTCCCATTCTTTTTTTTTGTGTGTGTGTGAGGAAGATCAGCCCTGAGCTAACATCAATGCCAATCCTCCCTCCTCTTTTTGCTGAGGAAGACTGGCCCTGGGCTAACATCCGTGCCCATCTTCCTCCAGTTTATGTGGGACACCGCCACAGCATGGCCTGACAAGCAGTGCGTTGGTGTGCGCCTGGGATCCGAACCCAGGCCTCCAGCAGCGGAGCGCACGCACTTGACCGCTGTGCCACAGGGCTGGCCCCTCTTTGTTTTTTTTTTTTAATAGCATTTTTATTTTGTAACCAGATATAGTTTGGAAACCAGTATCTATAAAATGTGAAAAAAAATCATTTAAAAGGAGTGCTCTTTCAAGCAAATTTATGCTACTCTAAATTACTAATTAATAATTTACTTTCCCCAATCTGAACCAGAATCTTTTTAACATATTGTGCTAACCCACAAATGCCTGGGTAGCCTCAGCATCCTTCCTCAGCTGGTCAACACAAAGTCGCCATCCTTATGAGAAGGGGAAGGACGTATGCGGTGACGTCGTGTCACCGATAGCTCTTGCCCTTTTTCCTGACTTCTACCAACATTATGTGCTGTAATTATAGGGGCGCTGCCGCCAAGGCCAGCTGGGGTTCAGGCAGGGCGTCGGAGAGGGGAGGCTGAGAGGGAGATCCTGAGATGAGTTGGCGGGAAGCTTGCATACTTGGGACCAGCAAGTGGCCGTCAGGAAGCAGCTCTGCTCTTTCTCTCCTGACTCTCGAGGTCTCTGCTGCACCCTCCGTCCCTGGAAAACCAGACACCTTCTCCGCCCTCTCTGCTGGGCTCCACTCTCCTCTCAGCACTGAAGTTTATCTTGTCCTCTCCTCCACCAACTCAGAGAAAACATGTACTTAATCATGTATCTCTTAAAGAGAGGTTAATGGTAAAGAGTATTATAATACCCAGTATAGAACATTTAAAAAATTAAGAAATCACCTCTCGGTCTACCCTTCAGGACACCTACTGTTAACATACGGTGTACTTTTTCTGTGTCATGGATTCATTTTTTAACATGGTTAAAATTATACTATAAGTAACCATAAGTATATGAAAGGTATAAATTTTGTTTCCAGCCTTAGTTTTTCACTTATTGTTATTCAAGGACATTCCCCATGCTTTCATAGTGTCTTTATAAACATCAATTGAATATTTACTGCTCATAAAAATAATAGTGTTTCACTATAGAAACCTTAGAAAATGCAGAACAATAAAAAGAAGTAAACAAAACTCTCTCTCTTTCCTCTTCTCAGGCTGACTGTGTTTCTTTGTAGGTCTTCTGGATATATTGTTGGGGTTATTCTTTATACAGACCTTATATATTGGGCAGTTTCACTAAATTAATCCATCATAGGGTGCATGCTATTTAATTGTGTCTTTAGTGTGGAATATTTGTAATTTTTGCTGTTGTTACTGTAATTAAGATAGCAATGATCATCCTTGTTCATAACTCTTTAATGACATTTCTGGTAATTGTCTTAGTATATATTCCTATATATGGAATTATTGGTTCAAGTGATATGAACATTTCAAAGCTTTATGCCACATAACCAAATTGTTTTTTAAGAAAGCTCTACCAATTTAAACTTCCAACAAAAGTGTATGGAAATATCTTTTTCGCCCTAATTTTTAAAATTTTTATTTCGCTTGCAATTTTAATGAGATTGACATTTTCTTAATTAATTTTTTTATTTTTTGTGAGACTGGCTCTGAGCTAACATCCATTGCCAACCTTCCTCTTTTTGCTGAGGAAGATTAGCTCTGAGCTAACATTGTGCCCATCTTCCTCTATTTTGTATGTGGAACGCCGCCACAGCATGGCTTGATGAGCGGTGTGTAGGTCTGTGCCAGGGATCCAAACCTGCCAACCCTGGGCCACCGAAGTGGAGCATGAGAACTTAACCACTATGCCACTGGGCTGGCCCAGAGATTGACATTTTTAATATGCCTATTAGCCATTTATATTTCTGCTAATAGCCATCCTCTTGATTTCTCTAGCAAGTTTAAACAACTATTTTTTCAAGAAGGCAAGTTCCAGTGATTGAATATGTATACCAGCTGAGTCTGTATATGTATAATAATGTGTATACAAGTGTCAACACTGTATACTATACCAGCTATTATCCTAGAACTTCATTTACATCACCTCTAATTGTAACAACCATCTAGGTGGACAAATATTACTCATCTTACTTTTATAGATGTTGAGACTGCAGCTCAGAAAATCTCTAAGTAACTTGCCCAAAGTTATCCAACTGAGAATTATTTGAACCAGGATTCCTACCCAAGACTGAACAACTCCAAAACCTGGCAAGCTTCGTCACTAAAGCTCCTACAAGAGAAACGATGCGGCTCATTCCATGGGAAACACACACACCCCTCTCAAAACAAAGCAGCAAATCATCCTAAACCTCAGCACCATTGTTACCACAGAGTGAACATCATTCCCAACATTTCTGTGCCCATTATAAAGACAGCAGGCTGGAAGGATGCACAGATGAATGGAAGATGATGTATAACTGGACGTACAGGTTTTTCAACAATAGGCTGAAAAAAATCTCTAAAAATGAATGTGGCAGGGGCTGACCCAGTGGCACAAGTGGTTAAGTGCATGGGCTCCGCTTCAGTGGCCCGGGGTTTGCAGGTTCAGATCCCGGGCGCACACCGACGCACCGCTTGTCAAGCCATGCTGTGGCGGCATCCCGTATAAAGTAGAGGAAGATGGGCATGGATGTTAGCTCAGGGCCAATCTTCCTCAGCAAAAAAACAAAAAACAAAAGGAGGATTGGCAACGAATTTTAGCTCAGGGCTGATCTTCCTCACAAAACAAAAAAAGAAAAGAAAAAAGAAATGAATGTGGAAATGCAGTTTAAAATAATACCTCTAACAGAATTTAATTTTATTTGTACTATTTATTCTTCGAAAGAATTTTGTATTTGGGTAATCATACTTTTAAAATTTTTTAAAATTTTTTCCTAGAACTGAAAGCAGAAAAAATGGTCACATTTGTTTTCTTGTACATTTTTATTGTTTCTTGTCCTAACATTCAACTTTCTAATCCACATAGAGTTCATTTGGGCACACAGGGTGAGACTTTATTTTTTCTTCTAAAACACTGAATCAGTTACCTGGAGATATCCATTGGCTGATTCTGCCTTTCCCTCCCTGCTGTATATTCTTTGCCGTGTGACGTTTACATTAAAGGCTCTTAAAATACTCTTCCTCCTACTTATGAAGCTCATATTTGTAGCATCTACAGCAAAGAATCTTAGAGATAGCATATCATAGAATCGTTACTCTTACCTTTAAAAAAAAAGGTCATTTAAGTGACATATTAAAGACCCTAAAGTATTATGATTATGTACCAATTGTGAAAACAAAATACAGGTACAAAAAGGGAGTTGGTTGCCAATGTGGTTCTGCACTTTGCACAAATTGAGTAGAGAAGAAACAAGAACAACGAAACGTCTTCATCAAGAGGAACAGTGGCTTTGAAACCCTAAGCACCATAATGACAATGGAACGTCACAGTCACACCCACTGGCAGAAAATGAGGACGGTAGTTGTCTTGCTGATGATGTAGACGCGCAATGTGGAAGGGGTGGGATGTGCGCCCTCCTGGCGACCAGCATTCCGGAATCATCTGGGGCTTTCTTTACAGGGGCACCCTCTTGCACATTCCTCCTGCTGCCCCCCCATCCCCACAGAACCCAGGTTGTCAGGGCTGCTGTCACAGACCAGGCTTTCTTCCTCCTTTCCTCACTCACTATGAGGGTTCTGACATCTGTAATCTGACCATCCAAGACTGTGGCAGATTCCAAGAGTGATAGTTTACATTGAAAAAAGAAGTATGTACTTAGATTGACGTCTCCAATTTCACATGCAAGCTTCACAGTCTTCATTCTTCTTTATTTATAAGAATTCCTTTAGGAAGATTACAATGTAGTTTTTGAAGCAGCTCAATTTGATCTATCAAAGAACATGCACATGGTTTAGTTGTGATTTACTTGTATTGTACTTATGTGTGATGAAGGAATTGCTTGACTTACTGCTTGTGTAGCTCAATTATCTAGTGAGAACCACTAACTGGTCAGTGCAGATTCCTTCAGAGAAAGCAAGTGTAGTTGAAGGAGACAGACACAAGGACTGTTTTGGAGAGGCGTATCTTAAATCACCCATGTATTGTTCCATTTTAAACTTATAAATCAATGTGTTTTTGTTAATGTATCTGTGTTTGAATCAAAGCATTAAAAGGACACTTTTCTCCTTATTTTCAGAGTTTTTCATCAGACTCTAAGATAATTATTTCCATGTTTTTACTTCAGATGGGCAGTGACATGCTAAGTGGCTGGATTTCTCTGACCTGAAGTAGCAATGGGCAGGGGGTCATGTAAGAACTTCAAGTATGTCTGTTCACTGTTTTATTGTTCCATTTCAGCACACAGACGTGGGATATTGGAATATTGGACATCTTTGGTTTTGAAGAATTTCAAAAGAATGAATTTGAACAAGTAAGTGGGTTTCTTTTGAAATTTTGTAAATTTTGATGGATTTTATTCAACTAGTAAGTTAGATCTTTTTGATTCAATAGAGATTATTTGCATAATTACTTACAATCACAGAATTAAAATAAGTACTTTGCCATTCTGTTTTAAAATTAATGTACCTAGTTTGTGGACATATTCATTTTTATGTGGTCTTGTAAACAACTGGCATAATCATTTTTTTTAAACAGAGGCACTTGTTTTAAAAGATAATGTTAGATGAAGACGTGAATCGTGCTTGTGGAAATATTATTTCAACTGGGTCAGACAGACGGAGAGCATCTGTATTTGAAATCAGGGCAAAAGTCTTCAGAATCCTTGGCCCAAAACCAGAATGGAAATTCTCTCTTATGCTAAATGCTGTTATTTGTAGATTCATCTTTATATGACATTCATACCTGTAACCATGGGAAATTCATGACTGATAGATCATTGATAGATTGAAGAGGCATTGATTATTTTTAATCCATTTACAATTTAAGGCACTTTGAAAAGTACTAAATTCTTTAGGTATCTTAATAGTACTATATGAATAGTTTAATCAAGTTAAATACATCTAAAAAGTAAGTGTTAAAGAAGAGAGTAGAAATAGAACTTGCCTTAGCAAGCAGAGAACGAAAAATAAACCTGTAAAAAGGTACAGATGGAAAGACAGAAAATCTAATTGCACTTTATTACATAAAGAATTACAACTACGCAGTATTCAGGGAGAACTTTTAATAATTACGTAACTTGCTTAGCTCTATTTTAATGCAGATAACGTGGTGGTTAATGACACCAGGTAAGGCGTCATTGTAAATTGAGGCCTTGAGAATGTCATAAATAGAATGAACTTGAAACCCAGTTCTGTGACTTTTACTAGCAGAGCTGTCTGGGCCGAGATGAAGACTCTGTAATGAGATTTGGTTTCCTTGTCTGTAAAATCGGGTTAACAATAGATTTAAAGGGTTGTGAGATTGAACAAGATTACTACTATAGAGGTTCTTGTGTCAATTTCTAGCTCACTGTACACGTTTAAGAAATGGCAGATAGCTGCTGTTACTGTTGTAAATTGGAACACTTGAAAACCTTGTAAAATTCAGCCTTATTTTTTTCTAAAAATGTGGTACAGCCCTGTGAATAGATGCTAAATCATGCTGACTCACCTAATCCAGAGTGAATTATCATGAATCATGTTCTTTACAAAACTTTACCAAAAGTCTAGTATGAAATAAAACCAAGGAGACCATAGATTTCTCCTCCTTTTATACTTTTGTGTCCATGGATTAATGGAAAAAGGAGGACTTCGTGGTTTTATTTATTTATTGCTTATTATAAGAAAAATAGTGATGGACATAAGGAAGAGATCAGTTAAAAGAGTGACCAGTGGGATGTACAACAACACGCACAGGTCTGCCGGCGGCAACTTGTGATGTATTTCTCAGCGCGAGTGTTTGAATGTTGTCTGGCCGCGGTATTGATTCCTTACATTTTTGCCTGAGAAAACATGTGTGCTTTCGTGTCTGTAATGAGTCTGACTGGTTTCTCCCTCTCCTGGTGAGTGACGGGCAGCAATCACAGGTGGAATGGTGTCTTGTGGAGCCCTCTACTATGGCCAGCCTCCCAACCCTCTGCTCCACACGGGGCACAGTTATCTATCATGTCTGTGCTGACAGCTGACATCTGTGAAACATTCATGTTATTTTCTTATTCGAACTTACTTATTTTACTACAATTACGTATATCCCTTATTATTCTTTCTTTCTGCTAAATATTTTAATTATATATTTTAGAATATATTCACAGCCTGAGATTTCTATATAACAAAGAATGACATTTCTTCAAATCTGAAGAATGAGTCTCTAGAAAATACCAAAACTCATTTTAGATATTTGTGGGTAAAATCTCAAATCAATTCTTAGACTTAAATTATGAAAAAAGTATACATTTTTAAAGATATACCTTTTTCTTAGTAGGTTTGCTTGGCTATTGTGCACATAGGAACTAGAAGTTATTTTAAAGAATAAAATTATTTTCTTTGTGATTAATCTAAATCTTATTTTACAGTGGATTTAGCAAATTCCTAAATTTGAATGTGAACTTTTTAAAGGCCTTTGGTTTGAATGATATATATTCTAGATTCTTGAGTTGCTAACAGAATGTGAACTTCCTCATTTTTTATTGTTGCAAATTTTCAACAAAATGTGTAGCAAATTGTGTTCAAAGTCAAACCCCAAAGAATATTAGTGACTTTATAAGTATTTATTTTATTCTGTTTTGAGTTCATTGACCCATCTATTAGCTGTTTGCTAGAATGTCAACTCCTGCAGGGTTGAAATTGTCTAGTACAGCATTTTGTATATAACAAAAGCTTAACACGTGTTTTCAATTGAAATTTAAAGAATAAACTCTTAAGAAAAACACTTCATAGTGGGTTTCCTAGTGCTTCTCCTTAGTTGGGAATAAATGTATGTGTTTCTTGACAATTGTCCGTCCGTAAGAAGCTTGACAGATGTTGAGAATAGGGACAATTTGAGAAGATACTAAGAAGCACTTCAAAACATCAGCATCTCCAACCTCAAAATCCTCAAGTAACTCTAAAAGATTAGATGGGTGCTTGTGATATTTTAAATAAGAGTTTGTTTCAGCTAATAGGAAATGCTAATCCTGTTTTCTCTGACTTTTAATGAATCATTTATATTCAGGACTATTTCATATATTATAATAAAGACCATTTATAGAGTAAAAAATATTTACTCTAAACAGTAGTAATTTGATGCTTCAATGGAAAAGGCATACTAAATAATGTGAGTCCCAAAGTACAATTTGGGAGGCTGTGAGTTTACCACTCTGATTAATGAATTAATTATATTATTACCAACTCACTCTCTGTAATGTAATACCTAAATTCATAAACTCTCATTTCCTTCATTATGTAAAGTTTATCTCTCCAGCACTGTAAAGATATCTCCTAACGCGTTGAAAGGAAAGGAAGCCTCTCCAGTCTACTCTCCAGCATTAAACAGTCCGTGAGTTCCAAGTATATAAGGCTCGCTAAGTAGGAAGATAACAGCCAAGACAAAGGTCCCCCTTATACAGTGCAATGCCAGTGGTGTTAGGAAAGAGAAAGCAATTCAAGGCATAAAAATTGGAAAGGAGAGGTAAAAATATTTCTACTTCCAGAGATGATTTCATATTTAGAAAATTCAAAAGAAAGAATGAAAATATTACTATGAACAATGAGATAACTTGAAAAAGGAGCAAGTTGTAAAATCAGCCTGTAAAACCAATGACTTTTCTATAATTTAAAAATAGCTTTTCAGAAAATGTACTGGAAAAGAAGACAACATTTACATTGTCAAAACTAAACAACTTGTGAGGAATACTGCAAAGTGCTCCTGAAAGTCACAGAATTACACTTAAACAAATGGGAAGACATTCTGCATTCCTAGACAGAAAGGCTTGATATTAAATAGGTGCCGATCCTCTCTAGTTAATTTATGAATATAATTTGATATTGTATCACTACAAATAAATGAAGAATGAATGATGAAATTAGAACAAATCAATTTTATGGCTTCTAATAGCTAATGAATCTAGGCAACAAGTATCAATGACTGCTAACATTACGAAAAGAGAGACAACGTACACAAGATGCATATCAAGTGTTCTTGCCAAGAAAGAAAGAAGGGAAGAGAGAGGGACAGAGGGAGGGAGGAAGGAAGGAGAGAAGGAAGGAAGCGCAAGGGAGGGAAGGAGGGAGGGAGGGAGGAAGGAAGGAAGGAAGGGAAGAGAGAAAACCTGAATATAATGAAATTTCTTGAGCTAATTACAGGAACTGAGGACAGAGGAACATGATAAAATAAACCATGAGGCTGTACTCTGCAAAATCCAGAATGTGGGAAACTGGACAAAGGACCTGATTTCTTTAACATATAAAATACAATGGTAAAAATGTAAAAGAAGGAGATTAAAAGAGATCTAAGAGATACGTAAATCAGTTAAATATAGGGCATGTAGATCCTAATTTGTTAAACTAAGTATAAAAAAATTATGAGTTAATTAGGATAATGTGAAATCTGAATATTTGCTGAAATTAAAAAATTATTGTTGATAGAAATTATACATGATAAAGGTATTGTGGGTGTATTTTCTAAGTCCTTACATCTTAGAGAATTATACTAAGATATTTGCCAATGAAATGACAGAATGTCTGAGAATTGCTTCAAATGAGTCTAGCTTTGAGGGTAAGAGGGAAATGGATAAAGCAGAATTGGCCATGAGTTAGTAATTGTTGATAATTGTTGAAGTTGGTTGATGGCAGGTGGGGTCTCATTACATTATTCTCTTCACTGTTGAATATGTTTAAAATTTTATATAATATACTATTTTAAATGAATATGAAAATTGAGGTTATGTAAATATTATATTAATAAATATAAGCATATTTCCTCTCCCAACATGTTATTGCAAAGCTCTGCATGCTACAGATCTCTACCAAAGGCACAAAGAACAAAATAGTGGAAACTAGTGATTTAATGTCCAATAATCTTCCCAAATTCCCCACTAGACACATAACATGCGGCTATGTGTAATGAAATCCTTGAAGCTATGGAGTCTAGTAAAATTATATATCAACAATCTGCTATAAGAATATAGAGAATTTGGAGGGAGAACACATTTGTTCAAAGTCAAAGCTTCTGTTGTGGAAGACAAAATTGTGATGTATGACCTAGCTTCAAGCTAGGCTCCATCTGAGCTGATTTCAGAAGAATTGTCAAGAAAATGTTTCTCTGCTTACAAACTCTTTTATAAAAAGTGAGATTTATTAGAAAGTTCAGATGAACAACAGCTCAGTCAGGCTGGGCTAAGTGTTCAAAGAATTTGGGAAAAGCCAGACACCTTGACTTCTAAAGTGTTATGAAATGGGATTATAAAATGGCAACCTCAACTTCAAAAAATACCATAAAATCCTTAGTTGTGAAATC